CTATTATTAATTAATTAATTGGACCTGGGCATGGAGCTTCTGGTTGTGCGCGTGGAGCGCGTGGTTTTCAGCCTTGACCCCTTCAAACTGCCTCTTGAGCAGCTCATAGTCCTTTTCGAGCTGCTTCGTTTTCCAGCGGGCCCGCCGGTTTTGAAACCATATGGCCACTTGTCTCGGCTGGAGCCCGAGGGCCCGCGCCAGCTGCATTTTCCTCTCGGGCTCCAGCTTGTTCCCGAGCTCGAAATTCTTCTCCAATGTCTTCACTTGCTCCGTGTTGAGCCGCCTCTTCTTCTCCCCGCCGCCCGCGTGGCAACCCTCGTCATCCGACACGTCGTCCGATCCGCCGTGGTTCGCCATGTCATCGTGGCAGCTGTCGAGCCCAGCCGAGTACGCCATAGAGGATCTTTTCCCCAGCAATGGACCCATCCCTATATATATGTAGATAGTATGGTAGTAATTTGTGAATTTGTGGATTTTTTTTTCTTTTTTTTTTTGTGATATATTATGGTGAAAGTGAAAGTTGAAACCCTTCTATTTCCATGATCCAATTGATAAGTACCATATAAATAAACAATGAAATAAGGATCAAAATTCACAATTTTGGTATCGAGTCAACAGTTTGGCAGACTCCACAATGAAAAACCTTCTATACACGATAAGTAAAAAAATATTATTTTTTTTTTAAAAAAATTATTTAAAAAATAAAATTAAGTTTTTTTAATTGGTTCCACTATGGAATCTAACTGTTAGTTTCATATATCAAAAGTGTTTTTCAAATTTAAATCACGTTCTTTTTCTAAAGTTGGAATGATATTTGGATTATTTCTCAACTCGAATTTTGTTTCAAAACGATAGATGTATTAAGACAACATAATTGAGGAGGTCTGTTCATCGGCAGCCTAAATACTACAACACAAACACAGACTTTAAAAAAAACCTCAAATAACGAAAATAAGAAAGAAAAATGAGTTTGTACCATGAAAATCTTGAGGGCTGCAAGAAGGAAGCATTGGAGGTAGAGATGTCGAGGCTTGACTGTGTTCGTCGTGATTCGAAATTTGCAGCATGAAATTGGACTGGAAAAATGCCATAATTTCATTTAATTTGTAAATGGACCTAATAAATCAATTTACACCATGATCAAATTTGGAACAAAGAGAACGAAAAAAA